GCAGCAGGTGGAGGCGGCCCGTGGCGTGTGAGAGGTGGCGACGAGGAGGCGCTTGTGTTCCCGCTGCTCTTTTCCCGAGACCGGTGCCGATATGGGCTTTCTGTTTCGTGGTCGTGCTCGGGGGAGGAGACTTTCCCACGTGCTTAAATTTGGTTTTGTAACTTTGATACTTTGCTGGTTAGCATGCTGGCATAGTCTAGTAAATACGTCAGAGGAGTGGGGGTTTTGCTAGGGTTTTTTATCTTTTTTCCTTCCCCTTAGCAAAGGTTACACTATAATTTTATATGTGGTAAGGTATAGGATTTGAGCTGTATTTATACATGAAAAAAAACCCTGAAATGCTTAAGTGACAGTTCAGGATGATGTATCACCTGTGGTTAGGGCTTCTCTAAGTGCTCTTAATTTGGTATGTTTTTCTTTTTTTTTTTTCCCTGGACTTAATCCTGCTAGTTCTGCTTATGCAGACTGGAATTCATTATTCTTCCATGAAACATAAGTGACTAATAAATTTGCTGGTTTGGATTAGTTGAGCAGCTGACTCATGTAAATATTTCTCACTTGTATATAAAAGCATCGGAATTTAGTTGTTTCCTATTGGCAGTTCCATGCACTAAATACACACAAGTTACGGTTTCTTTGATTTTTTAAAAAGATTGTTGTAATTATCACTATTTGCAAATGGATTGAGGTCCCACAGAGACTTTTTCTCGTCTATGGTGTTGAGGTTTTGTGTATTCTGGTAGAAAACAGAATTTCCCAACAAGTGAAAATGGGCAGCTTTAACATTATTATCTCTGATGTTCTAGTACAGCAGTCTGTGTCACGGTTGTATGTTTGCTGGGTCATCTGTTTAACCAACAGGACAGCCTAAACAAGCAACAAATGAATAAAAGTAAAACCAGGCTTTATTGTTTTTGCCTTTTTACGTATTGCCTTTTAGAGTGAAACGTGTCAACCGCAGTGCTAAGAGGAATAAATACAATTGATCTGTCAGAGGAAATTGAGGGCTCTTGATTTTGAGGTAAAGTGACTGTCAGAGTACAGTCCCAATTTGAAACTTTGTCATAGTTCCTAGTTTGGGTGGTAGCTGCTGAATAAATTGGAACAATCTTCTTTTTCCTTTTCTTTCTTGTTTTTCCTCTTGCTTGTTGTGTGGGGTTGTTATAGGCTTTGAGGCACAGTAGTTTGTGAGGCATTGTGCAGAGTTACACTAATGGGGGCCTAATTTCAGGGTCCAGATGCTGTTGTGCTGTAATCCTTTGGGATCACAGCAGTCATTCCAGTGCCACGGTGCTGGCAGGGCTCATGCTGTTGTGGCGTGTGACACATCCTGTTGAGGCCAAGGATGTCCTGCTTTGAAATGCCTGACAAAATAGCATTTTCAATTAAAATTAAAATGAGCTGGGTAGATTTGTGAAGGACATTATTTTTGTAGGAGTGAGATGCTGTGCAGTGTCTAAAGTAGACTCAGTTGGAGTTGTACCCCCTTCATTGGTGTTGCTTGCTGCAATACCCCCTCGAGATTTATCTCTCAGAGCCTGTATCTAGTGATGCATGTGTCTGTCTATTGCTGCTTTTGGCATGGTTTAAATCTTGTTTAAGAGAATTCTGTATGTAGTAGGGAACAATAATTTTCAGTTTAGCAAGGATACTGCATACTGATATTTTTGTGATACTTTGTGCTAAGCTTCTAAATGATATGTCAAGATGCTGAGTTAATATAGAAACTAGTTTCCTTCCAACTTTATTAAACAATTTACATAAATTGCAAAAATTAGCTTTTGTAATTTTTGTCTTATGTTTTCACGGTTGTACAAAGATTGACTCTTCAGTACTCTTCATGCTGTGAGAGAAGCTGTGCAATGAATGTATTTTTTTCCTGTGTGGAGAAATGATAGACTAGCTAACTTTTTAAAATAACTGTACTTTTAGAACAAGATTTCCTAAAATCACAGTTGTCCCAAGACAGTTTTGTGACTGACTCCTGGAAGAAATTGTATGTGAAGATACTTATTTTCTAGTAATTAAACTTTAATATGTTGTATGAATCTTAAACTTTTAAATTTGAATTTCTTAAAACACTTCTCTTAATATTTAGCCTCTTTAAACAGTCTTAGATAACTGAAAAGTTAGATTACCTTTTGGGGTTTTTTTGTGTTTTTTTTTTCTTTCATAGACAATGATTTGCAAGGAACAAATAGTTCAGGATCATTGGGTGGTCTTGATGTTCGTAGAAGAATCCCTATAAAGCTTATCTCAAAACAGACCAATAAAACCAAACCTGCTCCTCGAACTCCGAGAAATATGAACAGGATGCCTTCAAAGACTGGTGATGAAGGTAAATTAATATAAATGCTAGCCATGTAGTAGGGATGCGTATTATTGTGTGCAGCATTGTTCAAGACTTTATTGAGCCTTGGATACTTAGAGTCCAAGATTCTGTCCAAGTGCAAAACCAGTTTGAAGTTTCCAGGTATTTCCGCACTGTATGGATGAAATGGTGCATGTTCCCACAACAGACTGGCTTACTGTTTTGACTGTACTTTTCTGTAGAATGGGCCCAGCAGATTGGAAGTGCTTTGGCATTTCTTGATGATTTCAGTATAGAATGACACACGCTTTTAATAGCAGCCAGTGTCAATTAGGAAAGCATTGTGGTTGGCTCGCGTCTTTCTTCTCTTTCATTTTTCCACAGAAGAATTTGATTTTAACAAGGAGGAGCGATACGAATGCAAAGGAGGTGAAATGTTTGGCAGTCAAAGAAGGTTCCCTGGACCCATCTTTTGGGACTATAAGGTAAAGTCATGGATGGAAAGTCATGAAACTTTGTAAATCATACCAAACTGAAGGTAGTCCTGGTACCTACCTTCTTAAATAAAAGTGCTTCCATTATTTCTGACTGACTGAAAATAATCCTCTGCTTTCTCATCTTTGTGATGTTCTTGCTTCCTTCTCAACTAATTCAGAAATAATGAGTGCGTCAGTGATGACTGAAATGAGAAGCTTTAGTGATGTTGGTTGTTTTCTCCCACCCCCTTCTCTGTCCCATCAGATAAACTTGCTGGGGGAAAAGGATGATACACCGGTCCATTTCTGTGATAAGTGTGGATTGCCCATCAAAATGTATGGACGCATGGTGAGTGAAATTATCAGGGGAAGATGCAGCCATGGTTTCCCTTTAGGTAAAATCAGGTTTTACTGTGTTTCTGTGAGGCCTCTAGAGGTTACTGATCTCAACAGGCCTCTGAATAATCATCAGAAGACTATCAGGATGGAACCAGGGGCCTTTGTTGCTGGAGTGGTTTTGTTCCATCTGTCTGGTTGAGTTCACTTTACCCCCTGACTTAATAAAGTAAGCTTGAAAATGTTAAATGAAAAACCAGAACATAGTCACCAACAAAAAAACCTTTTGAGTTCAGCAGATTTTGACCTTACGCCACTTAGCTTTAAAAATGAGCTCTTCATAGCGAATGAAGACTTGCAGTGCAGTTAGAAAACACTGTTCATTTTTATGTCCCTTTAAAACTAGTGTAACAAAATCCCTGAGATTAATTTAGATTTGTAAGTGTGATGTAACAGGCTTCAGGATCTGACTTAATGATAGCTAATGCTTCTAAAACTTCCTTGCCAGCAAGACAAGTATAGTTAGATTACGTGTGCACCTGGTATGAGTGTTCAGTGTTGTTGTTACTGCAAGGCTTAAACTTTTGCCTATAAGTTTTTGCCAACACCTAAAACATAAATGAACCTTATCCCCCCAAACCCAAACTCAATACAAACTGTTTTAGAAAGCTTCTATGGAAAGGTGCTGTAAACTGCTACCTGCCACTGTGCCTGTTCACCTCCTAGGTAACTTAGTTTTATTATTAGAAATCATGTGCTGTTGAACTATATTCTGCAAAAATACATATAAGGAGTGTTAACAAAGCTGGTTTTTTGTCTCTAGATACCTTGCAAGCATGTTTTCTGTTATGACTGTGCTATACTACATGAGAAAAAGGGAGACAAGATGTGTCCAGGGTAAGTTAGCTCAAGATTTGTTATTAAAGGAAATGTAGGAAAGGAACTTATATTTATGTGATTTCAGATGCTGTATTAATACGGATTTTATTTGTGTATATGTAGCAGAGGCACTACACCACTTGATTACAGTTTTGTGTCCCATGTTTTGGGACTATTAGAGATCGGTGTTGGCTGTTTTAGTATTGGAGTAGATCACCTGTTACTGCTCCTATTTGAAAATGACAGTTTAATTTACTTAGTGAGAGTGACTCGGTAAACCTTTGCACACAGAAGGAATTTGTGAAGACAGAGTGGTGCTATATATAAATTTCCACCTTGTGAATTTTTTTCTGTTCTTTCACAGTTGTGTTTGGAGACTTAAAAACTATATAAACCTCAGAATCAATGAAATGGGTTTTTTTGTTGCTGCAGTGGGGAAGAAATTGTCAGTTTTAGTTTGGGTAATTACAGTGAGCTGGTTGACTTTAACCAAAAAAAAAAAAAAGGCAGCTTGAGCTCTTTAACAATAAACCAATACTCTTTTCTGCTTTAGCTGTAATGAACCTGTGCAGCGAATCGAGCAGTGTGTACGAGGGTCTCTCTTCATGTGTAGCATTGTTCAAGGGTGCAAGAGAACTTACCTGTCACAGAGGGACTTACAAGCTCACATCAACCACCGTCATATGAGAGCTGGAAAGCCTGTTACTCGTCCTCCGATCGAACCTGTGCATCCTCCTATTGCCCCGCCGCCTGCTGAAATTCCTGAGCGTTTCATAATGCCGCCCGAGAAGCATCATATGAGCCACATTCCGCCAAAGCAGCACATCATGATGCCACCACCTCCGTTACAGCACGTGCCACACGAGCATTACAACCAGCCGCATGAAGACATTCGTGCGCCTCCTGCAGAGATGTCCATGGCTCCGCCGCCGCCTCGCCCAGTCAGTCAGGACACCTTCCGCATTTCAACGAGAAAACACAGCAACTTAATAACAGTCCCTATTCAGGATGATTCGAATTCAGGTGCTCGAGAACCGCCTCCGCCAGCCCCTGCACCTGCTCACCATCATCCTGAATACCAGGGTCAACCGGTGGTATCACACCCTCATCATATTATGCCTCCACAGCAACATTATGCGCCGCCCCCACCCCCACCTCCACCAATAAGCCATCCGCTGCAGCACCCTCCCCAGGCAGCAGGTACTCCTCACATGGTTTATAGCCAAGCTCCTCCACCACCAATGACCTCTGCTCCTCCTCCAATAACCCCGCCACCTGGACATATCATTGCCCAGATGCCGCCATATATGAATCATCCTCCTCCAGGACCTCCCCCTCCTCAGCACGGAGGGCCCCCCGTAAATGTAAATGCGCCCCCTCCCCATCACTATAATCCTAACTCTTTGCCGCAGTTCAGTGAAGATCAAGGAACTCTCAGTCCCCCTTTCACACAACCTGGGGGCATGAGTCCAGGGATTTGGCCAGCTCCGAGGGGGCCACCTCCGCCTCCGAGGATGCAAGGGCCTCCTGCTCAGGCTCCGCTTCCTGGACCACACCACCCTGATCAAGCCAGATACAGACCCTATTACCAATGATACGAGCAGTTATATGAATAGAGTGCTATGAAGAGGAATAATCTATATACAACAGCCTTTTAATTAATTGTTTGGGGGTTATTTTGTTGTGGCTTTTTTTAAAATACTGTCATTTTGACTGTAAGACATTTTGGCGTTTGGATCTTAAATGATTTTTAAGCCTTGACCGTAGGACTCTGACTTCAAATACTCTGTAGTGCTAAAATAAGTGGCTTAGTAGACCACAGTTGCATTTTAACAGAACTTCTGTCTCTAGTGTGGCTAAGTTGTCCTAAGATGAACACTTTTAATGTTATTTCCTGGAGAAAATGAACACGTGTTGTACCATTCTGAACATTGTTTTGTTAAATCCAGTGTTTAGTTTCACTTGTGATACGTTTTTGTTAACCTGTGTACAATAATTAAATTGAAATATGGTTGTAAAAGTGGTGGGTTTTTATATGAAGTCAACACACATACTTCCGGGACACAGTTTCAGCACTAATGCTTTCCAAATGGGCAGCATAATGAAGCATTAAGGGAACTTTAATTCTCTTCCTAACAGTTACCATTACTTAAAACAAATTGAGGCTTTGGTGAGTTCATGGCAATAGAAATCAGACATGCAGAATACTACATTTCGGCTTTTTTTTTTTTTTCCCTTTAAATTTATACAGCAAGATAAGTTTATCAGAAATAGAGCTTTGGGCATGGCATGAAACCATGTAATAATGTATTGTGGGGTTTGGTGGGCTTTTGGGGGGTTGGGATTGTTTTTTTTCAGGTTATTTTGTTTTGAAGCTAGTTTTGATTTGGAAGGTTCTGTTTACATACACACTACTCACTGGAGCTGAATTCAAACTATGGTGTTTACCTATGGCTATGCCTTTGTGTCGGTGGCTGTGACTTGGCGTGCCATGTCTGTGAGAAGCAGAATGTTTTTGGTAGGGCAGGGGTGTTTTCCTCTGTCACTTTATATAATATGTAGAGTAGGAAAACTTCCCATTTGGGCAATCTGAAAGAAATTGTTTGAAATCCCGTATGTAGATAAAAAGAAATAAAAAGCTACACATCCTTTATCTGTTTCAATTTTGTGATAACAGATTTAATTGGACAGACAGTAGTCAGGTGCTTTGGTTTTTTTTCAAAAAGTAGGAATATAAGCAGGCCCTCATGTCTGTTTTTGCCCAAAATTTATGTTTTACAAGCATACTTTTAAAGAGAAAAATATAAAATGGAAATGTTCTGGTTTTTAGTGCAGCTGGTAGCAGAACTGGACAACACTAAGACAGTGCTGTCTGTTGTATAGAGTGCTTATCTTTGCTTTTCTAATCGAAGTTAGTCCTGAACCTTTGTTTTTTTCAAAGTCCTGCATTTCTCACAGAGTGCTTTTTAGTTGAAGAAATCCTCTAGATTATTTTCTAAGTTTTTTAATTTCCTGCTCTTCTCAAATAATCTGAACCATCTTAAAGCCTCTGTCTTACTATTTATGTCATAAACATTTTTCCCTGCCTTGTAAGTGTTAAATTTATGGCAGTGCAACGTTCCAAATTTTGTAATTTTACATACAAACCATGTATTTTTAATTACCAGAGCAGGGACTCTTTACATTTGCTCTCTGTCCTTGTGACCATGGACAAATCTTTCAGACTACCTTTCAGATAAGTACTTCTTTAGAGCTGTGCATATTCTGTGACAAATAAATTCTAGGGAATGCAAAGGGCCAGTAAGCATTAACTTTAAAAGTCTGCTTAGCTCAATATGCTTCTTTCTAAGACAGAGTTCTTTGTTTTGGTTTCTCTGAAAAACAAGCTATTTTAAATAATACACAGGCGAGGAGAAAGAGGCTGTTTGTGTTAGGGTGCTATGGTACGGGGTTGGTTGAAAATGTAGTGTTCAAGTGTTTATGAAGGTGAAAATGGCTCTTACCAGCATTATTTTCTTTCGGTAACTTAATAAACACAGGAGGAAATTTTGAGGACCCCCTTTTGTCGCTCTTAAGTTGCTTGGTAGGAGGTAGACTGGGCCACATTTATATTACAGCATAAAACTTCAGCTGGGAGACAATCTGCATGTCTGATTAATATTCTTTGCTGCTGCGAAGCCAGACTCTGTGGGCTGTACCTGCTGCAAATGGACTTGCTGGGTACCAGCTTCGTTTTGTTTAGGCTGAGAAGGTAACACGTGAGTCTGCGAGGACACCATGTGACAGGCTTTTGTGCGGGGAGATGCATCGGCTTTGCTAATGCGCTATTGTGGAAATTAAGGCATCTGAAATTGGCTATTGCCTGTCAGTGATGAGGAAATAAGGCTTCTCTTTCCAGCAGGCTGGTTTTCTGAAATGTGAGGCTGCAGACTTTTGTTACGTGTTACCCAGTTTGTTGTGAAGCAGCTGTAGGCTTCAAGCTTAATAATTCTTGGTTCAAAGCTATTCTTGAACGATTGAGAAAGTGCTATTCTGAAAATATTGAGCTAGTTGAACTGATTTAGGGCAAACAGTCTTTGCTCTGTCAAAAAGCACAAAAGGTAAAATGTGTGTCACTGTAGAAAATACGTGAGAATTTGTTTATATTTGAGGCAAAGGTGATATATTTCATATGGACAATGACATATCACCCAAAAAATTAGTGGGATCCTTTGAATTGTTTAGTGACTGTGTATCAAAAGTCTTAGCAATAGAGAACTTACTGAAAAGTCGTTTTATGTGAGCAGGGCTTGGACTTGGGTCAAATTTCTGTGTCCTGCTTGTGTAGAAAGACCTAAAGCCATTTTTTATTTATTAAATCTTATGTATACATATGTAACTAAGGATACTGTTGATGCTTTTATATTTACAAAGCTAAAAGTCTTCATTGGTCAAAACCTTATGTTAACAGTCTTCTTAATTTGTTTATGGGGTTTATGGTGTGTTCTCCTTGCGGTTGGTTGGTCGATTGGGTTTTTTTTTTTGCAAGATACATGGTTGTTCCATTGTGATGTTCAGAAATGCCATATATTGCATTTAGTTGTGTAATTGCCAGTCTTAGAAACGGTAAGATATACTAGAAAATTCTTAGGATTCCCAGTTATGTTTCCCTGTGAAGACAAAAATTTGAATTAAGTTTATTTTGAATAAATATCCCTGATTGTGGCAGTGATCTCCCTCCCAAGGTATTGCCGAGCAGATCTCAAGTTTTGAAGAGAACTCTTGATGACATTTGAATTTGTTGCCTTTGTAGGTTCCTCTAGAAAGGTCACGTAAGGGGATGAAAACAGGTTTAATGACGTTTTGTGTCCACAGTGAATAAATGAAAGACACCAGGAGATGACCTGAAAACATCCGTGGTTTAAATGCTTGTCTCCTTACACTTTATCTTCAATTCCACCTATAGCTTTCCTTAAAGGTTTGCCTGCAGCCATGCATACTCTACAAACAAGCTAACTGCATGCATGTGTACTTTGTTTGGTGTGGGGTTTTTTAAAATGCTATTAACATAAAGATTCATTACCTCGATGTGTTAAGTGATACGTGTGCCTTTTAAAAGAGAAAAATGAAAGAAAAGTGGATTTATTTTATAAAATCTGATCCAAGAGAATTAAAAAATCTTACTGGATGGAGTTTCCACTTCTTTTCACTTGCTGCTTTCAAAGGAGTTTCAGATTCTGTTTGTTAAAAGCTACAGTGGAAGTAGCTTGTGTTCATTCTATGTTAGAGTTGGCAGGCACAGCAAGGGAGAAAAAACTCCCGTGTTATGTGAAGTCAAGTGTTCTCAAAAGCACATTTGTGGATATGATTTCTCTGTGGATCGAGTCTGAACACATCTCCCTGTTCTTCAAATATTTTCTGCTCTCTGAAACTCGTTTCTGGTTTTGTGGTGTTTCTCTCTGCATGTGTTGCCGCATCGCTGACAGAAGCATGTGCACGTTCGCATTAGAAGGTGCTGTCAGGGCTGGGAAACTGGAGGAGCACAGCAGTTGCAGTTGCAGCGTAATACTGAGTGTATGGGAAATAAGTCTGAACTTTTCCTGTCCATGTATATGACACTACAGGGTCTAATGCAGGAGAAAAATGCACAAGGTTTGTATTCATTTTGACTACATTTGTAAGGGAAATGTTAATATTACATTGTGTATTTCCCCTGTTTTTTACTTTATGATGTTAAAAAATAATTCCTAGCAATTGCTAAATTATCTTTCTGTAGTGATGCTGCCTTCACAACTGTGAGGTTCTTTGTGTTCAGGTATGTTATGTTGATGCTAATGATTTGTACTAAACTGGAGTAGCTGCGTTTGAGCAATATGAGTGAGAATAATGAATTTTAAATCTCCTTTTAGTCTTGACTTAGCCACAGAGTAACTTCAGAAACTTTCTTACTCTGAATTGTATCCCCTTGGTCTCTAAATATGGGGCATTAATTTGTTGGGGATTAAAAAATAAATTTTAAAATTTAAAAATTGTTTTCAGTTTTCATAGAATCATAGAGTGTTAGGGGTTGGAAGGGACCTCTAGAGATCATCTAGTCCAACCCCCCTGCCAGAGCAGGATCCCTTAGGACAGGCCATGCAGGAAGGCGTCCAGGCAGGTTTTGAAAGTCTCCAGAGAAGGACACTCCACAACCTCTCTGGGCAGCCTGTGCCAGTGCTCTGTCACCCTCGTAGTAAAGAAGTTTCTCCTCATGTTGAAGCGGAACTTCCTATGTTCTAGCTTATACCCATTGTTCCTTTTCCTATTACTGGGCACCATTGAAAAGAGCCTGGCCCCTTCCTCTTGATACCCACTCCTCAGATATTTGTATACATCAATAAAATTCTGTCTCAGCCTTCTCTTTTCAAGACTAAACAGCTCCATTTCTCTCAGTCTTTCTTCATTTTTACTCTCTCCAGCAGATCCCTGTTTTGACTCCATTCATGAGCACAAGAGATTAAAAGATTAAAAACTCCAGCATAGATCTGGAAAGGTGTGGGTGGACTAGCAGCAGGGAGCTGGTAAATTAGCTCTTGAAACTAATCGTTCATTCTGATAATAGGATGCAAGTGGTTCTCAAGTGCTAGAGACATGGTTGTAATACACTTCTGTTAATGGAAATGTGATAATGTATTCAAGTGGGCAGGAATGTTTCACAAAAGAACTTAAGCTTCACTGCCTCAAAAAAAAACCCTAAATGGGTAATTTTCAATAGTTGTGGATGTGTCAGTCGACAAGAGTTTTTTCTTCAGTTTTATCTGTGAAAACCAATGCTTGAACAAAGCTCCAAGGTAACTTATGGTGAATTATTTCCTACATTAAATAAAGTCACGTAAGACCTAATGAAAGTTCCTGCACTTGTTCTTTGCAATTTCTGTATCAGGTAAAATTTCATTTTCTTAGGAAGCAGGAGGGAGCCAGATGCACACGGAAGAGTGAGAGAAGAAAGCTGTCCGCATTCAGCACAGGGATGAGGAAAAGAGAACCGTGAGTGATGTTTTT